TTAGGTATATACCTAACAAAATATGTACAAGATCCATATGAGGAAAACTACAAAACTCTGATGATAGAAATCAAAGAACTAAATAAATGGAGAGATAGTCCATGTTCATGGATAGGAAGACTCAATATAGTCAAGATGTCAGTTCTTCCCAACTTAATCTATAGATTCAATGCAATCCCAATAAAATTCCCAGCAAATTACTTTGTGGATATCAACAAACTGATTCTAAAGTTTATATGGAGAGGCAAAAGATTCAGAATAGCCAACACAGTATTGAAGGTGAAGAATGAAGTTGAAGGACTGACACCACTTGACATCAAGACTTATTATAAAAGCTACAGTAATCAAGATAGGGTGGTATTGGCAAAAGAATAGACAAATAGATAACGAAACAGAATAGAGAGCTCAGAAATAAACACACATAAATACAGTCAACTGATCTTTGACAGAGGAGCAAAGGCAATACAATGGAGCAAAGATCATCATTTTCAACAAATGGTGTGGAACAACTGGACATCCACGTGCAAAAAAATAAATCTAGACACAGACCTCATACCCTTCATAAAAGGTAACTCAAAATGGATCACAGCCCTAAATGTAGAAGACAAAACTATAAAACTCCTAGAAGATAATGTTGGAGAAAATGTAGATGCCTTTGGGTTGGTGATGACTTTTTTTTTTTGAGGAAGATTAGCCCTGAGCTAACTACTGCCAATCCTCCTTTTGCTGAGGAAGACTGACCCTGAGCTAACATCCATGCCCATCTTCCTCTACTTTACCCGTGGGACGCCTACCACAGCATGGCTTTTGCCAAGGGGTGCCATGTCCGCACTAGGGATCTGAATGGGCGAACCCTGGGCCGCCAAGAAGCAGAATGTGTGAGCTTAACCACTGCACCACCAGACCGGCCCCGGATTGGTGATCACTTTTTACATGCAACACCAGGAATACAAGCCATGAAGGAAATAATTGATAAGTTGGACTTCATTAAAATTAAAAATTTCTGCTCTGCAAAAGACACTGTCAAGAGAATGGACAAGTCACAGACTGGCAGAAAATATTTGAAAAAGACATATCAGATAAAGGACTGTTATTTAACACATACAAAGAACTCTTAAAATTCAACAATAAGAAAACAAACAACCCAATTTAAAAAAAGGGCAAAAGACCTTAACAGATACCTTACCAAAGAAGATACACAGTTGCCAAGTAAGCATATGAAAAGGTGCTCCACATCATACGTCAGCAGGGAAATAAAAATTAAAACAAGAGTGAGATACTGTTACATACCTGTTAGAATGGTCAAAATCCGAAACACTGACAAGACGCCAAATGCCATGAGGATGTGGAGCAACAGGAACTCTCCCTCATTGCGGGTGGGAATGCAAAATAGTACAGCCACTTTGGAAGACCGTTTGACAGCTTCTTATAAAACTAAACATACTCATCATACGATCCAGCAATCCCACTCCTTGGTGTTTATGCAAATGAACTGAAAATTTATGTCCTTACAGAAACCTCCACAGGGATGTTTCCAGCAGCTTTATTCATAATTACCGAAACTTGGAAGCAACCAAGATGTCCTTCAGTAGGTGAATGGAAACCACGGCATATCTAGACGACGAAATATTATTCAGTGCTAAAAGGAAATGAGCTATCAAGCCATGAGAAGACATGGAGGAACTTCAAATGCATATTACTAAGAAGAAGACAACAATCTGAAAAGGCTAAATGTGGTATGATTCCAACTATATGACATTCTGGAAAAGTCAGAATTATGGACAGTGAGAAGGTCAGTGGTTGCCAGGGGCTGGGGGCAGGGAGGGATGAGCAGGTGGAAGCACAGAGATTTTTAGGGCAGTGAAACTACTCTGTATGCTTCTATAACAGTGGACACATGTCATTACACATTTTTTAAAACCCATAGAATGTACAACTTCAAGAGTGAACCCTAATGTAAACTGCAGACTCTGGGTGATACTGATGTGTCAACGTAGATTCATCAACTGTAACAAATGTACCACTCTGGGAGGGATGTTGATAATGGAAGGGGCCGAGCGTGTGTGGGGGCAGGGAATATACAGAAACTCTCTGTACCTTCTGCTCAATTTTGCTGTGAATCTGAAACTAAAAAAATAAAATCTATTTATTAAAAAAGGAACAGCTTCACAGCATTTTTAAAAATGATAACAGATCTTTTACTTTTTTAAAGGAAGAAAATTTCCCAAAATGTAATGACATGTTTTCGGTTTGAAATGGCCAGTGTGTCTGGCATCATAGATGGAAACAGAACTACACTAAGGTCTATCATTGTAAAATTTGGAGCATGGGGACCAAGAAAATTTCCTACAAATTTCCAGAGAGAGAGTTAGAAAAGGTCTGGATTCAAAAATGCTTTTGGACTTCTGAACAGCAATATTGAAATATAGGAGGCAATAGCACACGCATTCAAAATTCTGAAAGAAAATGATTTCCTGCCTGAAATTCTGTGTTTATTAGGATGTGTTCCTCCAAGAAAGAGGAAGACCTGGGATGCAAGGAATAGGAGAATCACAAAGGACAGAGGTGAAGGGAATTCCCAGGGCAGTGGTGACAGGAGACCTCAGGATGACAGCTGTATAGAAGGGTCAGAGGGCAGCTGTCCATGTCAGAGCAGGTCAGCAGGATCCAGGGAAGACTTTCTTAAGAAGACGAAATTGTGAGAACTGATTTACCCAAATCTCCTGAGAAGAGATTTATATAAGTGGCTGAGAATTTAGGGTTAAAACACTAAGAGGAACATAGAAAGCCAAGCAAATGGAAAACCAAGACAATTATTAACCCAAGAGGAAAAACGTTTTGAGGGAAAATAAAAATAATAATAGTTAACCATGTTTCAGCTGTGAATATTTTAGTATAATTACGTAAACGGCAAGCAAAGCTTGTCTATGTACATTGGTAGGATGAGAAAAAAGGAAAGAGGCGAGTGGAAGGAGGATGACAAGGAGAAAAGAGAAGCAAATATTCATTGTGGACCACCGATAATGCCTACACCCAAGAATCAAGAAATTTAGAGACAGGAAGGAGGTAAATATCAAAAGAAACCGTTAAAATCCTGGTTCCTCTGGAGAAGAGGCTATGGGCTTGGGGTAAGGGCTACTTGTCAACAGCTGAAGGCTCTGAGATTTTTATCACACTTGCACGCTAAGTTAGCATGCCAGTTTCATGGAGGATAGCAGAAGACACAAGACTCTTGGATCAGAGACAAAGAACAATTTATTATGCACTGCAGTAGTATTAGAGCATTAACATTTTAAAATTTTGTTCCCTGAATCCCAGTTCTCGCAGAATGACAAGTCAGGTGGCACCTGTACACACAATGGGTTGCATGACAAGAGACAAGCCTGAGCTTAGGGAAGCTGAATTTTTAATAATAGACAGTAAGACTGCCTGCCTTTTGCTTCCGAGGATGATGCTGTCTCTGCCAAGGCTGTTTGCTTACAAACATCCTTTAAAACACAGTAGGGAACAAAGTAGGGCAGTCAATGCCTCTCACAAGACGTGCAGAAACGCAAGAGACCCACGAAGAACTGATTCCCAAAACTGCCGTTTTTAATAATCGAGCTCCTTGCATTATTTTATTTTAAACATTACATGCACGTATGACTTTCATAAGAATAAAAACCTTACAAGTTAGATATTTTAAATTATTAAAACAACTCGCCTAACCCTTACTCCTACTGACTGGGCATCTTTTCTTTCCAATGGGGACCCAAAGTTGGACAAAATGGGAAAAGGAAGTTTTCCGAACTGTCGCACGGGGAGGGCTCGTCCGGAGGAGGAAGGGCGGTCCCAACCTCAGCGGTCCCAACCTCAGCGGTCCCATCCGTGGCGAGAGCAAGGCGGTGAGGCCACGCACGCCGCCCCTCGCTGCCCCTGCCTGCGCCGCCGGGGCGGCCTCCTCCACAGCCCTGTAACCCGACGGGCGGCCCACGCAGGGGGTTGTAGGAGAGTTGCAAGCCACGTGCGTCAAGTGCCCGGAGCAGCCCTTTTGTAGTTTGTGTTGATTACAATTATGCGGGGTGTGAATGGAACCCCGCTGAAAATCAAGAAATAGCAACACAGACCACTTGACTCGTCCAGGGGCCGAGGCCAAGGCGGGTCTCCCGAGCCACGGCCGGACGGCGCAGCCCCAAGCCCTCCACGGCAGCGCAAGGGAGTGGCGGGCAGCTCGGCCGCGTCCCCGCAGGCTTCCCGGCCCAGGGGATGCCGGCTAGGCGCTGGCCGCGGGACGTGCGCGCCCCCGCTCACCGGTGCGCACAGGCGCTCGGGGCGCTGGACGCCCGCGTGTCCAGCCGGCCGCTGCCCTGCGCGGCGCTCGGAACCCCCACTTCCGCCTTCGCCGATCCCTTGCCCGGCCTCCGACCTCTGCCGGCGGGGGCGGGGGCGTGGGCCTCGCAGCTTCGCTGAGGGGCAGGTCTGCGCCCTGGCCCCTCCCTGGGGCACAAGCCACCGCCCGAGGCCGCGGAGGAAGGCCGGGCCGCGCAGATCCCGTTTATCGCCCCATCTCCCATTACAAAAGGCCGCGCCGCTATCTCCGCGGGGCATCGCCGCGATCACCGGGCCCGCGCGCCTTCTCCCACGCGCGGGGGCGCGCCTGCCCACGGCTCCCCGCGTCAGTTTTGCTGGTCCTGAGGGGGAGGGGGCGTTGACTCTTCCTGGCGCAGGGATCTGGGACTAGCCTCACGGTGGTTCCCCGCTCCATCAGAGGGACCCCAAGGGAGATGTCATTGGCCCTATTCTACAGACGAGGAAACTGAGGCCCACAGAGGGGGTCACTCAGCCAGAGGGCAGCACTCCAGGCACTGGGGGGCCACGCGGGGCAGGGGCTGGCTTCCTGGGGTCAGGGCCTGCGATTGGACTGGGAAGCTTGGGGTTTGGACAGAACAGAGTGTGGGAATCGTGTTACCAGTGGGAGGAGAGGGTCAGCAAGGCCGGGGGGGGGGGGGGGGGGGATTTCTGAGCAGGACGAAAGCTCCAGCATCCTTTAGAAGACCCTTGTGAGGAAGTTGAGCCCCTCTGGGAGGAGGGCAGAGGTTGCCTGAGTAGGCAGAGGGGCCCTGGAGAGGAAAGCACTGGCTAGGGGAGGAAGTGGGTGAGGGAGAGAGCTTGACATCAGCACCCAGTACGCAAATGCTGTGGCCTCTGTTGCAGGGGTTTCTGGAGGACTTCTAGAGAAAGGAGGAAGAGCAGGAAAATGTCTACATGCCAGTGTCCCTGCAGGAGGTGGGCTGCCCACTGGGGACCCAGGATGGGGGCAGGTCCAGGAGCTGCCCTCGACAGCCTTCATTCTGCACAAAGGAAACTTGAGGCCCCCAGAGGGCAGGGGTTGGTCCCATAGAGACTGGTGGACAAAAGTGGTAGCCTGAGGTCTCAGTGGCCCTGGAAACAGTTACACTCTCTGACCTGGGCTGAGGCTGGGTCCGCCTCCTGCTGGCCTGGCATATTAAGGGCTTCCCACCAGGATGGGGACACACTGAAGGCTTGGGTAGGGCACCCAGTGTCCAGGGTGCCTGTGCTCAGAGTTATCATCAAAGCAACTTTTTAAAAAGGAAAGGTCCCAAAAGGCTCCCTGAATCTGACTGGATCTTTCAGTGGAGACCTGGGAATCAGAACTTTTATAATCCTTCCCACGGTGGGGCCAATAGGGAAGCAAGAAATAAGTGACCCTCACTCTTCTCCTTTTACTCTGTTTGAATTGTGTATCCAAATCAAGTGTTACTCTAGTAATGCAAGAGACCCGTTCATTGAAAAAACAGAACCTCCAAATTCCCACATCTGATAGACCCCGGTCACAGGGCTGTCTGCCCAGTGCTTCCGGTGAACCAAACTGTCTGAGGACAGGAGCTGGGCAAGCCACTCATGGTGGTCACCAAGCAAAACTGCTGGAGCTCCAGCTGGTATGGCTGACACCAGGCCCCCCCCAGGGCGTTCTCGCCTACCCCTGGAGTAAGCCCATCCAGGTCTTGGAACTGCCCAGGACCCCTCCCAAAAATAAGTCCACAAGAAATCAAACTCTTTCCTTTATGCGACACTGGATTTTCCACAAAGTAAAATCAAGATGAGTAAAGATGTGGTTTCTAGATAGTGCCCGACAAAGCGGAGACCAGAATGTGAAGCGTCACCACTCGGGCCTATAAAAGCTGCCTCAGGAGGCCAAGGCCACAAGCCTCAGCTTAGGCCAGCTTACGTGTCCGCTCCTGGCTCCTCCTGTGTTGGCTCTGAGCTCCATGGCGCTCTGGTTGACAGCAGTCATTGCTCTCGCTTGCCTTGGTGGCCTTGCCTCCCCAGCCCCTCTGCCATCCTCGATGGCCCTCAAGGAGCTCATTAAGGAGCTGGTCAACATCACCCAGAACCAGGTGAGTGCTCACTGGCCAGGGTCCCAGCTCTGAGGGTGTTGGGTGGGTGATTCTCCCAAAGGGTATTGGTCTTGCCCTGACCCATGAAGGCTGGGCCTGGTCCTAAGATGCCTTTGGGTCAGGAAGTAGGCCCATGGACCAGGGGACAGGCCCAGCCATGCAGGAGAAAAGAGCAAGGCTAGGGGGTGCAGCAATATGGAGGGACCCATGAAGGGATTTGGCAGAGCCCCCAGGGACCACCTGCTTCCCTGGCCTGGCCCTGCCTGCCACTGTCAGCTCCTACTCAGCCATTCCTGAACAGAGGAAAGCAGAGAAGGGCCAGCACCCTCCTAGAACCATTTGCATTTGCCAACTGTATTTGAACACAATAATGGGGCCATTATTCACAGCATCCTTGTTAAGCCCATTCTTATGGAAGGGTTCATTAGCAGAGTCAGCTCTGCTCCTCAGTGGTGACAGCTCACGCTTTCTGAGCACTGATTAGGTGCCAGGCCTGGCGCTAGCTGCGTTACATCTCATTGCATCACTCCAACCACCTCAAGAGGCAGGTACGATGACCCCATTTTACCGACTAAGCCTCAGTGAGGTTAACTGACAAAAGCCAGATGCAAACCAGGCCTGCCCAACACCAGACTGCCCATGCTCTGAACTGTGGTTTCCCCCAATTCAGAAGGCAGGGTGTTTATACACTAGACCCCACTGCTCCCCATCTGATTGGCCTTGCCCTCCCGGGCAAGCCCCCCTTCTTGACCTGCCTGACCTGGCTTTGGCAAGCTTTGCACAAGGCTTGTCCTTTACTGGTTGTGTCACACACTTTTTCTCTCAGCTCCACAACCCTATGCAATGGGACTCCCTCATTATGCAGAGCAGGAAATGAAGCTCAGGAATATGGAGGGGGCCCAGGCCTGCCTCTGTGCTTCACCAGGGATGCCTGTGGGCCTGACCCCTCTAGAGACCTGGCCTGGGCTGCCTGGGGCAGGCTTGGCCCCCACCAGTACTCAGCTCACTGTCTTTTTGCTCCCTCAGGCCCCCCTCTGCAATGGCAGCATGGTGTGGAGCGTCAACCTGACAGCTGACACGGTAAGGATCCTTGGGTGCTGGGAGGGAGGTGGCTGAGGCTGTAAGCCTTGGGCTTGTCATCTCTGAGCCTTGTGCACACACCTGGGGGGTTTCAAGCAAGCTTCAAGAGCCACCCTTTGTCCTCTCATAATCTGGGCCCCTCCCACCACCCAGACCCACCTCCACCAGTCCCCCTCCTCCTGTAAACTCACTGAAAGAGTCACCTGAGCCATACAGCTGGGGGCGCCCAGCGGGACCTGATGCCCAGGTGTTCTCCTCCCCTCAGTACTGTAGAGCCCTGGAGTCCCTGAGCAACGTCTCCACCTGCAGTGCCATCCAAAACACGCGGAAGATGCTGACTAAACTCTGCCCTCACCAGCTCTCAGCCGGGGTAAGGCCCCCTGCCCTGCGCCCCCTCCTCTGCACCCACTCCTGCCAGCCCTGGGCTCACCCTGGGAGCTCCAAGGGAACCTGGCTGAGCATCTGAGGCATGCGTCCACCCAGGGCTGGGTCCACTGTGGCAGCAGGGACATGGCCTTTGGGATTTCTAGGACCTGGGCTTGAGGGCTCCTGACTCCTACCTGCGCTTCAGTTTCCACATCTGTAAAATGGGGTAATAATAGTACCCACCTCGTTGGGGCTTTTGTGAGGATTAAACAAGCCGGGCCCTGGAAAGCCCTTGGTGGATATTGGTCATCTTCGCTCTGGCGTCCCACTAACTCGCTGGCTTCTTTGTCCTGCAGCAGGTTTCTAGCGAGCGCGCCCGAGACACCAAAATTGAAGTGATCGTGTTGGTAAAAGACCTGCTCAAAAATTTAAGGAAAATTTTTCACGGTGGAAAGCATGTGGACGCCTGAAAAGCTGGCATCATCATTTGCGGAGGCAGACCTTAACCATTTAAGTTGAAGATCCGTTTTTCTTTCGGATGTCAGAAATTTCCTGGGGAGATGGGGAGGAGGGCTGGGGAGGTGGGGTGGGGGGGAGATTTCCTTAGCTTGGACCTCAGCCTGTGCTGCCTGCCTTCTGCCTAGCCGACCCCAGCTGCCCCTTGCCTTGGTGCCTGGGGCTCACCCCACTGGGCCTCCTCCATCCAGGGCTCGGAGCTTGGTGGACGAGGGTGGAGCATTGCCCCACACGACCTCCCCCTCCTCAGAGCAAACTTTAGCATTACAGTGGGCGCCACCCTTACCTGACACATGGCAGGGGAGGGACCTGCTTTACACAGGGGCGACTGAGGCAGAAAGCAGTTCAGACACATTTCTTCTTGGCCTTATTTATTATTATGTGTTATTTAAACAAGTGTGTTTGTCTATACTGGGGATAAGGGGAAACTGTTGCAGCCAGAACCTGGAGCCCAGGGTGTGGAAACTTGGGGCTCCAGCACTAAAGCAGCGAGGGTGAAGAGTCCCTGGGATCAAGTACTGTGTGCAAAATTCTGCTACCTCACTGGGGTCCTGGGCCAGGGCAGTGGACAGGAGAGACGGCTGGAGGAGCCGCTCTTGTCTGCCAGCCAGCAGTCGGCCCTCAGCCAAGGAGTAATTTATTGTTTTTCCTTGTATTTAAAGTTAAGTATTAAAATATGTTATCACAGAGTTAATATATAAAAGAGCAGCCTAGAACACTGCATATGGTGTGTGTGGACTGGGGGACGGGGTCATTGAATAAGCTGTTTCACTGACTGTCAAACTGAAAACCAGAAATAAAGATGCTGACAAGAGACCTGATGGTGTTTGCCTTTTATTTCGGCCTTCGGGGATGCTGGCCTGTGTTCTTAAGACTCCGAGGAGCTCTTCCAGAAGCAGGCCAGTTGGAGGAGGGGCCCTAAGATAGAGTGGAGTGGGAGTAAAGGACAAGATCTGGGCTGAAAGAAAGTAAGCAAGCCTCTGGGGGAGGGGATACCTGGCCTGGAGGAAGTCCCCCCACCTACCGCCCACAGGGAGGGGGAGGAAGCCTGGGCCAGGTGTTAGGGTTCAAGGAGGGTGTCTGGAGCAGGCAGAGACCTCAGAAGTCATCTCAGGATCACAGCTCTTGATGAGTGGCCGGCCTGTGTCTGAAACCACCCACACACCCTCTGATGCCTCCCTCATAACCTCTTGAGGCTGAGAGAAGAGAAGGTGTCTTGCCCAAGGTCACACAGCTGATAAGCAGCAAAGCCAGGATTTGAACCCAAAACTCATTCCAACTCCAAAGCTCACTTAACCACCCTTCCTGCCTCTGTCCAAATGTCATCTGGCCTGAACACACGACCTTTATAATATTGTCATCAATTTGTTTGGGTACCTCCCCTGATGGGGAGCTCACTACTTTCTTTCTAGGGACAGCCCATTCAATTTCTAGACACCTCTCATCATTAGAGGGTACACACTATCACCTCTGTGAACAAAGACACATCAATTGACTGGTGGCCCCTGGACTGTGGAGCGACTGGAGTGGAGAGCCAAGGCTGCAGGGCCCTGGTCAGACCATTCTTCTAAGCAGGTCTTTTTACTTCTCCCTCAGCCCATGTCAGCATTTGGAGTGCAAGAAGCAGCAGGCCTCAGCAAGCCACAGCTCACGGTCATGGTGGTCATGCCCGTCAGCAGTGGTTTCCACTGTTAATCTTTGGGAGGTGTCCAGAGCAGAGGGCTGCCCCAGAAGGACAGGATGCCTTTGCAGTGGGTGGTGGGTCCTCAGAGAACAGTCTCAAACACTGAGTCACATGCAGGCGCCCTCTCTGGAGAGCCCAGAGCCCTGTGGGAACATCTACAGCGATGCTCAGAAGTCAGGGGAGGCCGCCACCCAGGAGCAGCAAGAGCTCATGCCGTGGATGATTCAGGGAACACAGGCCACGGCAGGGCTTGTCCAGGGAGCAAATGACCATGGCAGACTGCTCCAGGAGCCACTCTCAAATAGAGCGGACACCTCGCTTGCACCCAGGCAGAGACGAGGGAAGAAGCCATAATCGACAGTTCGAGAGCCTAGGGATGCTCAGCCCAGAGTGGGATGACCTAGGGAGGAGGTACAGGGGCTGAGTGTCCCATGGGCTGTCCAGAGCAGGGAGTGTACTGTCTCTGTGGTCCCAAGAGGCCTCAGAACCTGTGAAGTCCCACGATATTTGCTGAGGACTGCCTATGGCCTGCCCTGCACCAGCCTTCTGGGCTAGCAATGACCAAGACACCACAAGCACTCAAGGTCTAGCACCAGAAAGAAGTCTTTAAATGATGGAGGGTGCTCTACCCTGGGAGGGCGGGGAGGTTCAAAAGTCGGGGGTAGGGGTAGGAGGCAAGATCTCTGCTATCCCTCTCTATCCAGAGATTCGAGGATCTTAAGGCCAGAAGGATTTTTTTTTAAATACAGAACTTAGCGATCCATCCAGTAGTAGCATCATCTTTGACCCATGTCCTCTCTGCCAACCAGGACATTGGCCTGTCTGTCCACAAGAAAGAGGGAAAGTCTTCCAATGAAATTCCATGTGAATCTCCCCAGAACAAACACTGGAATTAAGGCTGGTGTGGGGAGGGTCCCTCAGGATTTCCCGAGGATGTATTCCAAGCCATACAGTCAGGAGGGCCCTGTAGCTGGGTACACAGTGCTGACAGGGCCGCTCAGGCCCCACCACTAGGGGTCCGCAGCGTGCCACATCCTGGGCCACCCACAGCTCCCTGCCTGTGCCTCCAAGACTGTCCCTTAGACAGGCGACCTCTGGTCATCAGTGGTGAGCGGTGAGCTGGAGGGGGCTCGGGGCCTTTCAGGGATAAGGACACCTCACAGAGCTACAGAACCAAGCCACCGCTGGGAGCAACAAGGAGGTGGGCCCAGCCAGGAATGAGAGAGAAAGAAAAAGAAAGAGGAAAAAAAGGTAGGTGTCAGCTCTTGTGGCTGGAGCATCACCATCTGGGGACTGACCCCTGGGGCACTTGTGGGAGTTTTCCCTAACCGTGTGGTCTCGCTTTTCATGCATAAGGCAACGCTGAGCAGGGCCCAGAGTGAAGGGGGGTTGGGAAGAGATAAGAGTGCGTGGTGAGTGGGAGAGAAGATGCTGGTGGTGGGGCCCAGGGTGGGGAGCCCCTTGGCACCCCAGGAACCCCAGGCCCAGGAGGTTTCACTGGAAGAGGGGTTGGGGCTCAAGTGAGAAGTGAGAGACACACGCGAGTTTCCGGTGAACTTGGCTCTAAACACCTCTGTGTGCTGCTCAGATGAGGTGTCAGAAAACACTCCAAGTCACTTGGGGCTTTCTCTGAGGCTGGCCCTCTGAACTGCTCAGGACCCGGGAGGATGAGGGCCTGCATCTTGTTTCCTTATGACCGAGCAGCTTGAAGGCTGGGGTTTATCAAGTCCATCAGCTTATCAGTTTTTCATTATGATCAACCGGGAAGTAAGTGTCTTCTGCTTATTATCTTAATTTAGCTGGTCAGTTTGAACAAACTCAAAAACCTTTCCTCCCTTCAGCTGACTCCCTTCCAAGAAGGCCCGGCCCGAGTCCTGGCTGACCACGTTCCAGACGCGGCGGCCTGGCCTGGGACATGCTGGCCAGTTACCCAGCCTTCCTTGAGGTCCAGGCAGCATCAGTACAGATGGCTGTATCCACGGTCACCCCTTCCCCCCATCACTGCCCACTCCTACTCTGAAAAATAAAAGTCAGAAAGCCTCATTATCTTCATTCATTTCTCGGCTCCACCCAAATGCAACAGAGCAAAGGGTTTGCAACGAACTTTCCCAGATCAACTGATTTCTCGGCAGCAAGGGAGGGCCCCATGACGAAGCCATTTGAAATCCCAGAAGCGATTTTCTACTTACGACCTCACTTTCTGTTGCGCTCTCTCCCTTCCCCTCCACATTGCCTTCTCTTGTGGAAAGTGATTCTCTCACAGAGCCATTCAGAAACACCCCCAGCCCCACAGCCCGGGCAGACACTGCTGTGTGGTCACCTGTGACGCAGATACCAAAATTAAATATAGCAACTCTTGTTAGCTCTGCTCTCTGCATCACTTGGACAAGCTTGCGGCCCAGTGGCTCTTCCTGAAACCCGTGGGGGCAGGAAGGCCCGAGCTGACTGTGGTGTCCCATGTAGATCGGCGCTCAACGGTCTGCTGACCACACCAGCCAGAGTCTGCGCCCCCTGCTAGGCCCGGGGCCCTAGGCCAGAAGCAGCTTCAGCGATACCACATTAGAAAAGCAATTTCTCGTTTATTGTCTCTTCTTTCTTCTAATCTCTGTTTTCCCATGTTTTCTATAACGAGCATACATTCATTTCCCATGAAGGGACAAAGGCAAATTTAATTTTAAAAAAGAACGTGAACTGGATGTCTGGTCCATGAGGGAACTGATCAAAGCTAGGGTGGGGGAGGGGCCAGCGGCACCGCCCCCGCCCCCCCCCCCCCCATGGACTAGCGCCAGGACCCCTCAGTCAGTTCTAACTCCTCCCTGGGAGCTGGCTGTCTCAGGAGAGGCGGTGGACACTTGCAGGGGTCTGGGAGGCAGGAGGTCCAGCATCCCTCCTCTCATGTCAGATCCTGTGTTGCCAGAGACAAAGGAAGGGGCTCATTTCTTGGGGGTCTTCATGCAGCCCTGGCCTGCAAGGCTGGGGCAGCGGGATCAGGGAGCATGAGATGGGAAATGGTAGGCCGCCAGTCCAGCTCGAGACTGAAGCGACATTAATTCCCCCAGGGACAGATGGAGAGGTCCCTCAGATCCTCAGCTGGCTTCCCTCTCTCTCAGGAGAAGGACTTTTCACCTGCTTCTCAAAAAAGAGAGAAGCCAGTAGCCTATGGAGCTACTTCACCATCCGCTCAAGGAAGCCCGAGTCCACTGCCCTTCCTACCTTGGCTCCCTCCTCCCCTTGGTCCCCTTGTCCCCTCCCTGTGTCTATGCTCAGGAGCCCATTCCCCTGTCTTCTCCTGGGGCTCAGGGCAAGGACTTCAGGGTCCAAAGAGCCCTAGCTTGGAAGTCTCAGCTGTGCCCCTGACTTCCCTCGTTCCTACTTAGGCCAAGTCTTAGCTGTCCCCTCCGTGAAATGGAGCTTCATTCATTCATTCAACAATTATCTATTGAGGCCTCTACTAGGTGCCAGACACTGTTCTAGGCACTGGGAATCCATGGTGAACAAAACAAGGCTACTTCTAGTCGGGGCACAGAATCCACGAACAAGAGAACACAGAGCGTGCAGGTGGTGGTGAGTGCTACGGAGGTCCGCGAAGCAGTCAGGGGGCTGCGAGGGCAGGTGGGGGCCGCCATATTGTGAGGGGAGCTCAGAGATATCCTCCCTGGTGAGATAACATAGAAGGGAGATCTGGATGAAGTGAGGGAGGGGGAAAGCCATCTACGTAAGGGAGACAGAGGTCCAGAGAAAGGGCACACCGAGCACCACAGTCTTGAGCGTGAGAGATCCGGAACGCTCCTCCCATCGTTCGCGTGGAGCTACACGGTCTGGCTCAGGTTTAACAGAAGTGCTCCAGCCGCGGTGTGAAGAACGGAGCGTGGGACAAGGGCCGGAGCAGGAGGCTAGTTAGGAGGCTCCTGTGGAAACCCATATGGGAAATGACAGTGGATGTGGCAGTGGAGGGCTGGTCAGCTTCTGGGGATATGTGAGTGTCATCTGTACAACATACGCTTATATTTATATATCATTTACATAAACATATTATATATGATATATAAAAGTATAAATATATGTACATTATATAATATAGAAATATTAATTATATATTTAACTTTTCTATTCGTATAGGTTTTTAAAATCTTTTATTATGGGAAATTTCAAAGACATACAAAGGTAACTCCTGGTTGTCTGCCCCCACCTTCAACAATTAGCAACTCGTGGCCAACTTAGTTTTGAGTCTCTGCCCCACCTGCTCCCGGCCCACCCCCGCCACGTCCCGGCCCCGAGTTCAAACCAGCATATCACTCAATTCTGGATACAGTTTGCAGGCAGAGGCTTTGGTGCTGGATTGGATGTGGGACACGGGAGGTTTTTACGGTGGTGCGAGCACCCTGAAGGATGGAGTTGCCATTCACTGAGCTGGGGAAGCCTGGGCTCAAGTGTGTCCCGTCTAAAATCTCGCCCATCTTTCGCAGTCAGCACCCCAACATAGCCTGCCTTCTCAAATGCGTCTACACCACTGTTTCCATTTCGTGAGTCCCGCTCCTGTCGGGCATCTGCCCTGACTGAACTCCAGAAGCTGTCTCAGTGATGTCATCGATTGTCTCCTATCACTAAATCCTTATCTCGCCTGACCCAGAGGAAAGTCTGACACTGCTGACCATTCACTTCTCTTCCGAGACTCTCTCAGGCCTGGGTTCCCTCTCCTTCCTTTCTCCTTCCAGTGTCAAGAGAGGGTCATAGGCACTTCCTGTTCACTCTCTTCCCTCACCCTCGAGGTGGTATCTTCTTCCCCTTGGCTTTGTCACCCTCTGTGTCTACAACCCAGACCTTCCTCTGTGCTCAGAGCTGCAGACCCAGCAGCAGGCCCCTCCATTCAGAGTCCCCCTCACCCCATCTCCTTTCCTCCTAAACTGCCATCTCCATGAACAGCATTTCCCCGAGCCAGAAACCTGGGGTCCTCTGTGACTTCTCACTCTTCCTCACCCCCATATTCAGCCAATTCCATGTGCTATTAATAATGATAATGACGATAGTTGGCATTTATTGAGGGCTTCCTACATGCCAGGCACGACACCAAACATTCTATATTTAGCCCCTCATATAATCTCCCCACACCCCTATTATTAGGTCAGTTTGACAGAGAAGCCTGGACAGGGTAACTTTTCCAAGGTCACCCAGAGAGTAAGTGGCAGAGCTGGGATTCCGAACTACCAGGTCCCACTGACTCCTGGACATGTGACCTTCACTTCCACACTCCGCTGCTGCCGGACAACTCAGACCCACAGCCCTCCTTCCCACCGCCCCACCCTATCCACGCCAGTTCCCTCTCTCACAGGACGACACCGTGTTCTGTTCCCCCTCCCAGGCCCAGTGGCTTTCCGCAGTTCCTCCAGGGCCCCAGGGAGCGCCCGCCTTCAGGCCTTCCACATGCTGTCCCCCTGCTCTTCACACCTCCCCACACTCCCAGTCCTCTGCTCCTAGCTAAGACCTACTTATTCCGATCTCTGCTAAACATCACTCCCTTGGAGGAGTCTGATTTTTTTTCGAGAATAAGCCCATGAGGAGTTGGAAGGGGCTCTTCTGTGTGTCGTCCTGCACAGTTGGTAGAAGAGGAGGGAAGACGAGATTCGCAGGGCTCGGTGGGGGCAAGAATCATCAGCCAGGGAAACTGGGATGCTCTGTTCAACCTCCATGCCTTTCCCCTTGAGCAGACCCCCTTGAGGTTAGTGTCTGGGTGCGAACTGTTCCCCCGTGCGACGTGGAAGGCGGAAGGGGACAGAGGCCATCCTCCTGCTCCCTTGGGCTGGGGCGTGGGGAGATGAGGTTTCTCCTGGTGAGTTTTGTGGCTGTGGGGAGGCAGTTGAGGCAGCAGCTCTGGGACCCCTGGATTGCAGCCTCAGGGGGCATTCTTGAACTCCAGATGCAGTGGCAGCCTCAAGGCTAGTGGTCCGTGCTGTGCATCATTTCTTTCGAGTTTTGGACCCAGCCTGGAATCTGCTCCTCCACCCTCCCAACATTTTTGTAAGCACCTACTTTCCTTCTGCCTGAGGTGCCTGCCCACAGCAGTGTCTGTTTCCTGCAACAAATGCAGATACACAGGTATAAGGGTTGCACTGTAGCAACTAACGGTGGCTCCTTGAAAAAAGGAGAGGGCCTCAAAGACTAAAAAGGAGACCCATCCAGGAGGGACGTATGTGGGAAATGTCCACTGGCAAAACCTCCAGTGGTCCTGTCCACACTCAGATTTGCCTAACAGAGTAAGTACCACAGTCATTTGTCCAACTAAAGATATGATTACGAACATTAACTTATTTATTCCTCAGAAGAACCTCATGAGGCGGGTACAACTATCTCCCCCACTTCACAAAGGAGGCTGTGTGGCATACCTAAGGTTGCACAGCGAGAAAGCAGAGCAGCCAGGACTGACAAGCCACGTGGGCCCACAGAGTGCCGTGGTGGTGTCCAGTAACAGCCACCCTTTATGGAGTGACATCTGCTGAGCACTTTCCATGGAATCTTTCACTCGCTCTTCACAGGAATTCCATGAGGAAGAGCTATATTATTCCCATTTCACAGGTGAGGAAACTGAGCCCCATAGAGTTCATGATCTGCCCACGGTCACAGAGTTGACAAGTGACTTGTTTGCTGGACCCCAAAACCCAGCTCATAATTGCTACATTCCAGAGTCTGAAAGGGAAGCTCTGCGGCCACACAGGGGCCAGGGCTGGTTCTCAGCTCTCAGGCAGGGTGAAGGGAAGAGGATCTATGACTGACAGCCAGAACACGGCAGTCTCCAACTTTCCTCTGAGCTTCGGTGCCTGCTCCCCATCCTTGTGCAGTCACTGTCCATGACCCCTGCAGGCTGGGAGAGGCTCCTTCTCAGGTGGTGACTGTCTGTGTCCCTGATGTGCAGGCCCCTACCTACCTGGCCTCTGCCCAGCCAGCCACATGCACAGCTGCCATGGTGCCACATTGCAGGGAGGATGGCCCATGTTCCCCTTCTTCCCTTTGAGGGGACCTTCTGGTCACTCCCTGCCATTCTGAAAAGTTAATCCTTTTTTCTATGGCCTCATCTAACCATTGAAACAAAACAAAATAGCTGTATTCTACTTCTGAGCTACTGGTTCCCATTTTATATTCCTTTTCTGACTCAGATCTTTGCCTCCAGAGCCCCAAGCCCAGGGTCTGGCACTCAGGGAAAGCAAGCGCCCACAAAAACAACTGCTGAATATGGGGATGGCTTTTCTATTGCTTCTTACACACTTCTCAGCTGGAGGACCCTGCTCACCTCCCGTCCTCTCCAGCTCCCCCACATCTCCAAGACTTTGACAGGTGTTCTCTGAACCCTGGCCTCTCCTCCGGTGTGTCTGCAGTCCCAAGTTCACTCCTGTTTTAACTTGAACCTTTTCTCAAGAATGGAGTATGCACCACTGTACTCCTAACAATAGTCAGCCTGGATTTGAAGCTTCCACCTACCCTGCAAGGAAGTGTCTGCCCTTCTCATGAAGTCCTCCGTCTGTGTAGTGTATCATGCTGCCTAGCAAAAGCCCAACTAATCCACTTAAAAAATGGGCAAAGGACCCGAACAGACATTTTTCCAAAGAAGATATACCAATGGCCAACAGGTAAACGACAAGCGCGCTCAACATCACTAATCATCAGGGAAATGCAAAACAAAACCGCAACGAGATATCACTTCACACCTGTTAGAATGGCTGTTATCAAAAAGACAGGACATAACACAGGCAGCCGGGGATGTGGAGAAAAGGGCACCCTGGTGCAGTGTGGGTGGTATTGTAAATTAGTGCAGCCTCTGTGGAAAATAGTGTGGAGGTTCCTCAAAAAATTAAAAATTGAACTACCATACGATCCAGCAATCCTACTTCTGGGTGTTTATCCAAAGGAAACAAAACACTGTGTTGAAGAGCTATCTGTACTCCCATGTTCAGTGCAGCATTATTTACAACAGCCCAGACATGGAAACAACCTGAGAGTCCATCGATGGATGATTGGATAAAGAAGATGTGATATACACAATGGAATATCATTCAGTCACAAAAAAGAAGGAAATCCTGTTGTTGGCGAGAAACTGTTTGGAAGCAGCTTGAGGGCATGATGAGAAGTAATGTCAGACTGAGAAAGACAAATGGTATGATCTCACATATATGTGGAATGTAAAAAACAAAACACAACAAACTCACAGGAAAAAAGATCAGATGTGTGGTTACCAGAGGCAGGGGGTGGAGGAAGGAGGAATTTGATGAATGTGGTCAAAATTACAAACTTCAGTTATAAGGTAAACAAGTACTGGGGATATAATGTCCAACATGAGGACTAGAGTGAACACTGCTGTATGGTATATGGGAAAGTTGCTAAGAGAGTAGATCCTAAGAGTCCTCATCACAAGGAAAGAAAACATTTTTTCTTTTTCTTTTTTTGAGGTATCTATACGAGATGATGGATGTTAACTAAAATTATTGTGGTAATCATTTCACAATGTATGTAAGTCAAATAATTATGCTGTACACCTTAAACTTACACAGTGCTGTATATAATTGCATCTCAATAAAACTGGAGGAAAAAAGAGAAATATCTATTTAAAAAAATTTTAACTTACCCAGAGAGGTCTGGCCTTTGTCCCAGCTCTTGGGAGGTAAACTCTAAACCTCTGAAAGAAAGTATTTGGCTGGTTTTGTCGCCAGTTCCTAGGAAGTAGCCCCTAAATCCTTGGGATTCGTCTTTGCTCTCCATGGTGGGCCCTGATAGTTTATGCTACTGAAGCAATTCAGGGTGGGGGCCAGCCACACCATTAAGCTACTGTGATATCAGCCCAACCTCCAGGGAGGGGGTTGGAGAATGAGGTCAATTGAGTGGTCAATAATTCAATCAATCATGACTACGGAATGACACTTCAGGAAAACTCTGGACACTGAATCTCGGGTGAGCTGCCCTGGTTGGCAGTATTCTTCATGTCGTCACACATCACGGCGCTGGGGAGGTGACTCTGTGGGGAGAAGATAGCAGAAGCTTCATGTTTGGGACCCTCCTAGACCTCACCCTCTGTGTATCTTCTTTTGGCTGGGTCTCACTGATATCCTTTTGCTGTAACAAAACTGAAACCTTATGTCTAGTGCTTTCCTGAGTTCTGTGAGTCATTCTAGAAAATTATTGAACCTGAGGGCTTAGTGGGAGCTCTTGAATTTGTAGCCAGTTGGCCAGAAGTAAGGGTGGACTGCTGACCTCCTAATTTGGGGCCCGTGTCTGAAGTGAGGGCAGTCTTGGAGAAGCTGTGTCCTTAACCTGTGAAGTTTGGCCCAACTCTGTGTAGTCGGTGTCAGAAGTCACTGCATTGAGTTTGGCAAACTCATTGTACAGTTCCAATGGAAGCATCCAAAATGTGGTAGAAGGACCTTCCTGAAACAATTATCCAGGGCCTCTCCTTCACAGATCACAAGGCACTATAACAAGATCCAAAGCGCAGGAACAACTGTAGCCGTAATCTTTTCTATGTGATTGTCCAGAGGAAATCAGTAGGGAGAGGAGGTCAGAAACCAAGAGAAGGGAAGTGGAGAGGAAAGAGAAGGAAAGGCTCAGGTAGAAGAAAGTAGTGGCGGTGGGGGTGCTCAGCGCCCCACCAGGTCCACAGGAATTAAAGTAAGACAGCAGGGCATGTGGTGGGCACTGACAAAGACAACCAAACTGTCAATCAGGAAGACTCTGGCTCTTTTTCCTAATTAGCTGAAGATGTATTTACGTTTCAGTTAAAGAGCGGTCATTTCTGAAACCTCAGGATAGACCTAACTTGCCTAGGGCCTCCTTATTGTGAAAGACCTACAGACCCGCTGTGACCCAAACGCAGCCCCACCTGGTGTTACCCGTCCTCTGCCAAAGTCCCAACCCTGGAAGAATGGCGTGCCTGAGTGCTAGGACAGGAGAGAATCTGTGCCTGTTACTGTCCTTCTACCCAGAGAAAGAACCTGATATCAGCTTTTCCACAAAAAGAGAGTTTCCAAGATGCTACCCCTACTTGGAAAAAGCCAGGCTGAAATACCATTCAAGTCAAACTTTCTTGATATTACTCTATCTTTCCCCAGGAGGACTGCACTAAAATAAATTCGGACACCTGTGGCCTCTTCCTTCTATGCAAAGCAAAAAGCCAGCAACAACCCCAAGCTGATAAGATTAATCTAAAGAGAAAATTATGGTGTAATTTCCTATGCTGATACTTTGTAGTTAATTTTAAAAAAAGGTTTCATTTTCCTATTGGTCTGATTTCACAGGAACATTTTACCTGTTTCTGTGAGGCATTTTTTCTCCTGGAAGAGAGGCGCTGATTGGCCCCAAACGACTGACAACCTGGTGTAATGAAATTTTCCAATGTAAACTCATTTTCCCTCAGTTTCAGCAATTTTAAATCTATATATAGAGATGTCTTTGTCAGAATTGCATTGTTAGCTTCTCCTGGTAAACTAATCTTTTCACATTGTCATTGCAAATAGAGATATATTAATGGGTCTCATCTCCCAACTGATTCCAGCTCTGGTCTGCTTACTAGCATGTACCAGCAACTTCATCCAGGGATGCAAATACGACATCACCTTACAAGAGATCATCAAAACGCTGAACAACCTCACAGATGGAAAGGTGAGTAAGCTATCTGGCACCATCTCTCCAGATGTTCTGGTGATGCTGTGAGTAGTCTTAGACTATGAGAAAGAGCATAACAGCTTCTAGAGAAGTTGGTAGCTGGCGACAGGACAAGGAGCAGAGCAGAGCACAGCAGACACTTCTCCCTGGTGCTTTTTATTTTTTTTTCTGAGGGATCGTAGGAAGTTTTTTTCAGTTTGAGGGAGTGAGAGCTGCTCAGCAAGGATTCCTCTGTACAGTGGGAGGTAACTCTGTCTCTCGCTTTCTCGTTCCTGCCCAGGGCAAGAATTCGTGCATGGAGCTGACTGTAGCGGATGCCTTTGCTGGCCCGAAGGTAAGAGCTGTTTTGGCAGACGGGTGACTTGGGAGAGGAGAGCCAATCCACAGGTGTTTGACGAGAGACTTTCTTAGCGGAAAGCGAACAGGCCCAAATTAACTATAAAGTGTTAAATGTTTTCAAAGAATGTGAATTCTGATCTTTACTCTCAAATGTGTCTTGGTGTTTCCGGTTTCACTTGATTTAGAAGATGTTTAATAGAAAGCTTGGATTTTGTAATCCTAATTCAGATCCTGGTCAAGGAAAAGCTCTTTAGGATATTACCGAGCCCAGGCCTACTGCCTGGAATATAGGAGGCACTCGATAAATGCTTGGGGAAGGAGAGAATTTTCCTGGCCTATACATTTCTGAAAAACCAAATACTCTCACAAAAACAGATATTTGAGATTACAGGTTGAGGGAGCTTTCATTTTGTCTAAGAGACTTCCTACGGCAACAGAAAAGGTATTACCAGAGCCCCTCCTCTTCCGTAGCCTGGTCACCTAACAGCCCGCCAGCTCTGGGGTGGCTGTCCAGAGACCCTCAGCTTGCTCTGTCCTGCCAACTCCCCTCCAGCCTGGTCTGGGGCCGTCTTGCCAGATGGGGTCCAACACATCCCTGCTTCTGGCTGCTTGGGCATCTCGCCTTTCCACCTCCTGTGCCGTCTCACCCCCGCCCCTCTATCTGTAGTGGGAGGAGATAGATTTGACAGCTGATAGGGCATTTTCTCTGACAAACACATGACTACAGCCATATCAATAGCTTTGTGAACATCAGTTCCTGTTTTCATGGAAACACACGACTGAGAATGAAAAACCCAGAGCATCAATTTACCAGTGGTCTCCTAACCACTTGCTTTCCATGTGCGCTAGAGCAGGTAACCTGGCCAGGTAAAGCCCTGGGAGCTGGGCAGGGCCACACCCCAGCCCTCAGACCTGGAACAGGCCTGTCCCACTTCACGGGGAAAACTGTTCTTCCGGCCTTTATCTGGATATCTCATTTCATTAAAGATTATTCCAGGAGTCTGATAGATAATAATATATAATATTGTAATGTAATTGTATATAATAATATATAATGTAAAATAAATGTATAATGTATAATATATGATTATATATATTATATGCTTTTGTCCTTCAGAATGTCATCACGTATCAGACTCTGTCCTTCAGTAGGTTAGAAGGATTTGCAGATTTTATATGTATATATAGAATATTATCTTTTGTATAAAATATAGAGGAATAGATAAAATAGCCAAGAGTTCACTAGGGTGTGCTCTGGGTTGTCCAAGGGCAGCCGCACTGGTGAGAGGTCTACCAAAGCCAAGGGCAGGGCCCAGGAGGAAGAGCGGAGGGTCTGGAAGTGAGGCAGCCTGTAGTTTTAGTCCCAGTTCTGCCATTAACTGGCTGTGTGGCCTCTGGCAAGTCTGCACACCTCTTTGTGCCTCAGTTTTCACAGCTGACGATATGAAAGTGATTTTGAAAGTTGGTTGGACTCCAACTCTTGAGTTAGTGGAAAGTGTTATTGTAAGATGATATAACTCTTGATTAAAAGCAAAAACTGGTTGCAGAGAAGTAATCATTCTAAGAAGGAGGGGCCAGAGGTTGGAAATGATCGACCCCTCCATGACTCCAAGCTCAGGCGACCCTACTCTGGGCTGTCTCTAGAAGACCCGGCCACCCTCACCCGCACTAGGCCACACCGCTTTCCTCCCATTCTTGGCCTTCTTATTCACTCAATTCTCGCATCCCTCCCTCGCCACATGGGCAGACGTCTCCTGAAACAAGGCCCCAGCGCCTTCCTTCACTCTTACCTCTCTCTTACACCTTCCCCTGCTGCTTCTGTTCCTCCTGGATTAACAGTTGCATCCTCCATTCTTTTCTTTTCCTTGAAGACTCAACACTGCTTATTTATCTCTTAGAATATTTCAGAACAAGGAACAGTTGTCTTCAAAACCCACAGAGGTGGTCTGTGGAAGGAAACGTGACTTCTTTGTGTTTCCAAAGAAGGACATCTTTCCAAAATCGAGAGTATTACTTTTATTTCTTTTGGAGATTAAAAATTCCAGAATCTCTAAGTTGGGTAGCGTCTGCTCTTGGCAGTTGCTGGAAAGAATGTGCTGATCTAAATGCTGGGTTTCACGGTTAACATCTACCTGGGTGTCTATGAAATTAAGGTGGTCTGAGGAAGAGCAAAGTGGAAAACAAGCAAGCGAGGTGTCCTAGGAAGGATTTTTTGGGTGGGCCGTTAGTTGGAGGTCTTTCCTATTTACCAAAGAAAGCTCAAGTCCATAATTTTTCAGAGAGCTTTATGCCCATCCTCAAATCTTCTTTAAGTGAAAGTAAAGGATTTTCTCATATATAGCACTGGCTGAATAAATTTGGGCAGAAATGGAGATAACTCAAATAGTACTGGATTTTTATGGCCCTAAATGAAGCTGACAAGAACCAAGTTAGAACTCTAAGAGAGTCGCTACCGCAGAAGAAATCTCCCCGATGGCATTCCGCTATTTGCTCACATCTGCTGAGGGACGGGTTTTCTCCTGGCGTGGGCCTACGCCCGCCTTCTGAGTCTCTTCTCCTGAGCAGTTCTGAACTGCCAGGTCCACTAGCCTTGAGCTATGCTGGACACACTTGGCCAGTGAAAGGCGGACAAGCAGACGAAAGCAGTTGGTATGGGGTGTCATCCTGTCGCTGCAATGCCAATGGAACTCAGACTTTAAGGCCTTTAACTAAAACTCTTTAGAACTAGTTCTTTTAAAGTTTTTCCATTTGATTCAAGCTCTTTGCAATTCCTATTTTATCCTAACTACCTTAGAAAGTCCTTTGACAAATAGCTTTAGAGGGTTTTTTTTCTCCATATATTAAATGGCCATATACTCAAAACTAAGAGGCAGTTTAATTTCTAGGCTCCAAGACAGTTTCAGAAAAGTCTCATTAGGTTTTGATGGAAAAATAAGCAAAGGGGCTCTTTTATTCTTGGCCTCCTGGAACCTCACTGTCAGGGAGCGTCTGCCTTCACCGTGGCCTCACTGCCTCTGCTCGGCCACAAAGCCCCTAGAGGTGTGTGGTGATTTATGGGGGGTTTCTTGACTCCCTGAGCCCAGAGCTACTGGTGCTGCTCTTAAGTTCCCAACCAGAATCAGGGCCCAGGAGGCCTCTCGGCTAGTTCATTAAGCCCATGTCCTTCCAGAGGCCCTGCCTATGGGCCATCACGCCCCACAGGGGGAAGGGGAAGCTCCTATAGTCTGGGATTCCGATGCCTCGGTCTAGGTCTAGAGCCTCCTGGAAAAACCTTAAAATACGAACTATACTTCCAGAATTTAGCCTAAAGGAATAAGAGATGAACACAACGATTTACACAGATGACTCACTGTCACATTATATACAGAAGCAAAAACCTGCAGTGACAGGGGATTGATCAACTATGATACAAAGATGCCAGGAGTTCCTACGCAGCTCTCAATCCCACGTTCTTAAATACGCCTGAATGACTTCAGAAAATGTTTGTACCATATGTTAAGTGTAAAAAGGTTACAAAACAGTATCAATAGTTGGTCCCTATTTTGAAAAAAGGAAAGTTAAAAAGAACCCTGGGAAGATAGTTGCCAAAATATTAACAGTAGTTATCTCTGGCTGATGGGATAATGAGTGAATTCATTTTTGTTGAAAATATATTACTTTTATAGTAAACATGTATTACCTTGATAATCAGAAAAAAATATGTAAGGATTTAAAAAGCTGCTTGGACTGTGCTTCTTGTATAAATCCCCTGGAAATCTTGTTAATGCACATTTGTGATTCAATGGGTCTGGAGTGAGGCCTGACACTGTGCGTTTCCAGCAAGCTCCCAGGTGATGCTCATGCTGCTGCTCCATGGACCACAGGGGACTGGAGCATGTCCTGGCAGAGGCTAGAGAGAGCTTTATCTGAGCTGGATGGGGCTCTCCAGGCTCTGTGCCTTTGTTCTTCAGTGGAAAGTGAGAGGACACACCAGGTCTGAGTCAAACTGAAGCACAATTCCACTCCTGGGTTCCCAAAAAGAGCTGTTTCCTTGCTTGTACATTCCCTCTTCTAAGGCCCAAATGTCCCCAGGAAGAGCCATGTGGCCAGACCCCTATCAGAGCTGCCAGTATTCCAAGGAGGTTCTGACTGAGCATATTCTAGGCCAAAGGCCCCTGACAGGAGCTCTGTCCAAGGCCCAGTTCAATGGTACCCTCTCTCAGAAGCATCCTCTGACCTCCCCAGGCCAGACTCCTGGGACATCCAGTCCTGATCCTGGCACTCACCTCTAGCTGTGCAGGGAAATGTCTTATCTCCTCACCCAGACCCAAGCTTCTACACATACTGCTATCTCCCATGGGACGGCGATATGGAGAGTGCTGCTCAAAGCAGCAATGTCTAGGCCAAAGGATGGGCATTTATTTATTCAACAAGCATGTAGGATTTCCAGGCAAACCTGGATTTTAAAACCTTACAGGAATGAAAGAGAGCAGAATCTGATTGCGAGCTCACATAAGCACCTTCCACAGAAAGAATAGCTTGCATGGCGTAAAAAACAGACATGAGCTATAGAAAGATGGCTCTGCATTCAAACCCCACTCTGTAATTTTACTCAGTTGGGTGACTTTATTCAGGTACTCTTTGAGCAAAACCCTCCAAGGGAAAAGAAACTGAGAGGTCCTGAGGAAAAGGATGCTGCATTTGCAGGTAACGGGTAGAGGTTGTTTAGAGAGGTTTATGACTGTGACGAGCAGCCTTCATTCATATGGCAGCAATGCTTGAATATCTGATCCATAGTTGAGTAAACTCACCTTCTCCACTTGTCATCCTGGAAAGAAGAAATCAGAAGAAAAAATATCTCTCACATGTTCAAAATACAGCTAGCACATGGCTATCTGTGGCATTTCTCTTTCTAGAACACAGATGGAAAGGAAATCTGCAGGGCTGCAAAGGTGCTTCAACAGCTCTATAAAAGACATGACAGGTCCTTGATCAAAGAATGCCTGAGCGGACTGGACAGGAACCTCAAGGGCATGGCAAACGGGGTAAGCTGCATCATGCTGACGGCTTGGCTCCTGATGGACAGCAGCCTCACTTCTAAATGTTCCTCCTTATTAACGTTCTCTTGATTAATCAATCCATCCACTCATTCAACAAATACCGGCTGAGGCTCTATGAGCGCCAGGCGCTCTTCTGGGCACTGAGGATACAGTATTAAAGGCAAGAAGACAGAGTCTCTGCTCTCACAGTGTTCTAGTGGGGGAGTTAGAAAAGCAAACAAACATATAGTATGATGTCCAGTAGTGATAACTGCTATGAAGAAGAATAAAGGAATAAAGAACATAGGGGTTATGAGGGAGAGGGCTGATTTAGTAGTTGGTGACATCATCTGAGCAGATATTTGAATTGAGTGAGGGAGCAGGCCACAGGACTAACTGGGGAAAGAACATTCCAGGCAGAGGGAACAGCTGTGCAAAAACCCGAAAGTAGAAATGAGCTTCATGTGTTCAGAGATCAGTAGAAAGGCCGTGTGGCTGGATCAGAGTGAGCGAGGGAGATTTTAACGGGAGATCAGATTACACAGGGCCTTTGGATTCTGCCCCAAGTGTGGTGAGAAATACTCACAGGGTTTTGAACAGGACAGAGACTATAATCTGATTTACGTGATTTAAAATGATCACTCTTGCTACTGTGCGGTAAATAGACTGAACAGGGGTAAGCACAGAAGCAAGATGGCCTGTTGAGAGGCTACTGCAGTAATCCAGGCTGGAGGTGATGGTTGCTTTGACAGGGTGGGAGCTGTAGAGGTTGTTAGATTTTGGATATAACCAAAAATAGAACCGTAAGGACTCGCTGACAGATCCATTGTGAGGGGTGAGGGAAAGAGTAAAAGGTGACCTCTTGGTTCCTGGCCTGAGCCCCTTGGGGGATGGTTGGTGCTGTTTACAGAAATGGAAGACTGGGGATGAAGCAGGGCTAGAGGTTGAGCAGAAGATCAGGAGTTCAATTTTGTACATAGTAAGTTTGAGGTACCTATTGGATAGCCAAGTGGAGATGTTGAGAAGAGTGTTGGAAAAGTCTGAAGCTTAGGGGAGGTCAGAACTTGAGATATAAAACGAAGAGTCCTCAGAAAGATATTATTTAAAGTTATAGACCTGAATGACATAGAGAAATGAAGAGATCCAAGGGCTGAGTCCAGAGGTACTCCAACATATAGAGGTCAGGGAGAGGAAGGTCCAGCAAAAGAGACTGAGAAGCAGCCAGTGAAGGAGGAGGAAACTGAAGGGTGCGTGATGCCCCAGAGGCAAAGGAAGAAACTCTGTTATAGGAAGGAAGTGATAAGCTGTGTCAAATGTACTGAAAGGTCAAGTAAGATGAAGACTGAGAACACCCACTGGATTTGGCATGATGGAGGTCATCAGTGATGCTGATATAGATGGAGATGGGAGAACGAAAGCCTGACTAGAGTGGGTTCCACAGAGAATGGGGCTGGGGAGGAGTGAAAAGAAAGGGGCAGTGAGTACAGAAAACTCTTTGGAGGTGTTTTGCTGTAAGGTTGCAGAGAAATGGAACAATAGCTGAAGGGAAGGTATGGAGTGAGGGAAGTTCTTTTAAGGTAGGATTATATTCAGCATGTTAATATACCAATGGGAATGATCCAGTAGAGAGGGGAGAATTGATGGTGTAAGAGAGCAAGAGGCAAGAGTGGATGTTATCTAACGCCAAGTAGAGGAATGGGGGACATTCATCCCCTTCCTGGGCCTAGTGCTTTATTTATAAGATAAGGTAATGGAATAGGGAACTGACACTACACTCATTCTCTCTTTTAATCCTCTTAACGATCTGATGAAGTAGGCACTATTGTCCCCATTTTACAAAGGAGGAAACTGAAGTTTTTAGAAATGACGTAGTTTGTCCTAAGCAATGCAATTAATAAATTGGTAGAGCTGAGATTCAAACTGATGCAGTGACTTCATGGTAGGTACCTGGAATCCTTTCCACCAGAAGTGCTACCGAGCTGTGGTGTTGCTATTTAATGGGCAGGAGGGCAAACGGACTGACTCTCTCTTGGCAGTTCAGGCGGCCATACAGAAGGCCTAGCACAGCAGAGGGCAGGTCTGAGACTCCACCTTCACGTTACGCTCCTGAGCAGCACCCAGCTGTGTGTGACACACCGCCCCAGAGACTGCGGCACTCCCAAAGGCAGACAGTCAGTGATGGAATAGTAGCCATTTCTAGGAGTGTATATAGTATGCACCAAAAACAGGCAAACCCTGCTGGCTTAGTGGCAGAGTCAGACTTCTAATCAAGCGAGACTGGAGGTCTGGTTTCTAACTGTTCAGGTGGCAGGTGCCAGAGTAGGCTTGACTCAAGCAGACGGGCATAACAGCAAGACTCAAATACTTAGCAATGCAAGCTAATGGAATGTTTCTCTTGTAGACCTGCTGTACTGTGAATGAAGCCAAGAAGAGCACATTGAAAGACTTTTTGGAAAGGCTAAAGACGATCATGAAAGAGAAATACTCAAAGTGTCAAAGCTGAATAAGCTGAATATTTTAATTTATGAATTTTGATAGCTTTATTTTTTAAATATTTATATATTTATAATTCATAATAAAACAAAGTATATGTAGAACGTTGTCACTTTAATAGCATTGGCTATGTTTACTTGATTTGGGGGGAAATCAGTTTTATTTATTGAGAGACTAAAATTGGTGTGAGAATAAAACAGGAAAGACCTCTTCCCTCTCAAGGAGTTCCCTCTCTAGTTGGGGACATAATGCACAAAATGATTAAAGAATACAAGGCCACGCAGGACATAAATAAGTAAGATGATTTGCAGAATGGGTCCAAGAGTTCTACTGACTACCAAATAATTCTGAATTGAAAAGATGTCAACTGGATGCTTAGAACATTTTTCTCCCGTTGGCACAAAGGTTGTGATATTGAGTCTATAGGGGGAAAAAAGTGAATCTAGCACACTACATGGCTTTTCAGTGAACAATAATTAAAGTCCTAATAATGTAAATTCTCTTGATTCTCAAGTCTTAGAAGCAACCAATAGACAAAGCACAGAAGACTTAATTATGGTTACAGAACAGACTGTAAATGCTATCAACCTGACAATGTAAACGGTATAGCTGAACACAGCTGAGCGGTAAAAGCAGAAGGAAAGAAAGAGAGGTGAACTGAGATCCTAGCTCATTAGGGGAAAGGGTCACGTAAGCAATACTGTCTAAGGCTGATGGAACGAGAACAAGAGAGTTAAGTATTCATTCAAAATTTCAAAGGTAATAGAAGATCTAAAAATAATTTACTATAAAAAATTTGGAAGGGGTAGTATAAATGAGGTAAACCCTCACTTTTCAATAGAAAAATCAACACACACTATCTAACGTTGATAAATCAAAAAATAGTTGGCAAGATTCGTCATGAGTTGATGATTGTTGTAGCTGGGAATGGGTATATGGGGGTTGATTGTACTACTCTGCTTTTATACATGTTTGAAAGTTTTCATAATAAAAAGTGAAAAAAAATCAATAGTGAGTGAATCAAGAAATCTTTGGAATTATGATGGTAGCCACTAGAAAAACTAAAGACAAAAAAGGGATGGTGGTTTGCTGGAAATGGGGCCTGGAACAAGGATTGGTGAAAGCAGGGCTGGAGACTGTTGGCTTTGTAAGTCTGTGTGTGCATGTGCACTCATGACCATGTGCATAAATGATAATGTGTTTTTAAAAATCAAAAAACCAAAGTTAAAAATACAGACAATAACAAACGCTGGCGAAGATGTGGAAAAATTGGAGCCCTTATACATTGCTAGTATGATTAGAAAACAGTACAGCCACTTGGAAAACAGCATGGCAGTTCCTCAAAAGATTAAACATAGTTACTATATGATCCAGTAATTCCAGTCCTTGGCATCTACTCCAGAAAACTAAAAACATACGTCCACACACAAACCTCTACACAAACGTTCATAGCAGCATTATTCATGACAGCAAAAAAATAGAAATAACCCAAATGTCAATCAGCTGATGGACGGACAAACAAAATGTAGTATATCCATACAAAATATTATTTGGCACTAAAAAGAAATGAAGTACTGATACATGCTACAATATGGATGAACCTTGGAAATATTATGCTAAGCGAAAGAAGACAGAGACAAAAGGTCGCATGATATGATTCCATGTATATGCAACGTCCAGAAGAGGCAAATTCATAGAGGCAAAAAGTAGAATACTGGTGGCTGGGAGGGTGAAGAAATAGGAAGTGACTGTTAATGGACATAGGGTTTCTTTCGGGAGTGATGAAAATGTTCTGTTAGTGGAACAGTGGCACGACTCTATGAAGATACTAAAAACCACTGAATTGTACACTTTAAAAGGATGAATTTTATAGTAGGTGAGTTACATCTCAATAAAGCTGTTATTTAAAAAAATTAAATGGAGAAAAACCAAAAACCAGTGTCACATCATTGAAACTTGCCTTTTGAAGACATGTACTCTGCAAGAATATGGATCTAGTAACAGTGAACAAGCATTCTCTTTTCATCTTTGCTTATACTTACGTGACAAAAATTAGTACTAGTACTAAAATTATACCAAAACATGTAACATCTTTTTAACCCTTTCAAAATAAGGGAACAAATCAAAAGCTTAAAGTCTCACCCTGACCACAGCCAGTTTCACCCTGCCCACATAAAATACCAGCATGCCAAGGGCAACAAGTAACTAAGAGAGTCATGGAGCCTTCTGAGGCCACACTGAACATTTTAATTTCCTTTCTTCTTTAATTGAGACCCATTTGCATTCAATGGCTAATGTGAGCTGTAGTTTACCACAGGATATGAGTTGTGGGTTATCGTTTGTGTATGAGGCCAGGATGGTAAAAGAAAAGGCTGTCAGGCAGAAAGATTTAGAACGGGCCATAGAAAGAACAGATGTAGGTTCCAGGCAGGTCTGTCATAAGCTTCCATGGTTATGATGCAACTAACATTTCTGATTTCTTCCAGACAGGTCGTTCTGGGCTCTGGATGGAAACACCCAACAATAGGCCCTTGAGTTTACCAAGAGAGAGAGAGAACATGAATGGAAGAAGACACATTTAAAAAGAATGAGCAAAGAAACTTCGGGATTAAGTGAAAGTTGAGATGCTTGTCATGTATGCACATTTGTTTAGGACACAGCCACAGTCTATGCCTGCTTCGTGGGACATATCTCTTGTCTGTGCATGGAATGTGTGACATTGACAGCAAAGGCTGAACCCCTCCCTCCCTGCTATTAGAACTCCACCTTTTACCTATGAATATATTATATCTCTAACTGGCATTAGTAGGCAATAAATACTTATTGAATAAATGAATGAAAAAAAAGTTTCAAATTTATGGGTGAACGTCTTTCATTGAAACCTTCTTGGGACACAGTTAGAAATGCTGACCTCTGATAAAAATGCATCGGGGGCTCTCTAGTTGCTATTGGTCTATCCAGGCCAGTGCCCCTGCCTTGTTTTTCTTCACCCTCCTCCACATGTCATCTTGGTCAGCCTCTCAGGCTGCCCAAATCACCTGAGAATGGGGACTTTCAGGGCAGAGTGCAGAGCACAGCTTCCTAAAGGCCTATCATCATGCAAGGTTAGCATCTCAGTTCCTACCAGCTTCCATCGAGGGCATGGCAAGTGCTTTCTGTAGTGTTGGGGCTGACTTCTCGGTTCAATTTATCAGTTCAAGTTGGAGTTCCATTCCCAGGTGGGGTACCAAAATCTAGTTAGCTGTCACGCCTAGCATTTCCTGAACTGACCCTTGCCCTAAGCACTCAGACATTCTCTCCTTAGCTTTCTAAAGTGCTTCTCTTCTAATCCATCTTTCTGTCAACTTCTTCCTAGTTCAATGTTCAGTCTCTAAGCTGTCTGTTCCTTTCTTGTTTCCTATTAGCCAGCGTTACAACAACCAGAAGCACATTCTGATGTTTTGTGTGCTGACTGCACACCTAGGTACCTGCTAGGCAACATGAGTAAAGATACATATGTTCCCTCAGTCTTGGTACCTGTCATGAGTGCAAGAGAGCCAGCTGAGAGGAGAGGTAGGTTAGCTCCTCTGGCTCATGACCATTTCGGCCTCTGGGGCACAAGTGTGGACATCTGCTGCCCCAGCTCCCTCCTATCTAATCCTTCACAATCTTTCCAGCAGTTGTTTCTCTAAAACACAAACAATGTGAGTGACCCACTTAAAATCCTTCCATGGCTTCCCAGTGCCTACAGAACACTCTGTCACAGTAGGATCCTGGCCCATCTCTTTCCTTTTTAGGCTCATCCGTTCCCACCCCTTCTACCCGACTTCAGACATACCAACAACGCACACGGCATCTAGGTTCCTGTTATTCCTCCTGTCCAGAATGCCTTTCCCCACTGGATGGACCACTTTAACACCTCTCAAAGGCTGAGAAGCCTTTACTGGCCTTTTGGTCAGGCAGATCAGGCAGACATGTGCTAGGCATCAAGCTAGCTGTTAGGAAGAACGCCCTGCCCGGCAGCTCATCATTCACCCCCTTTACTACAGCCCTCAACATGCTGCGCTCTCATCCTCCATTTATATGGCCGCCTCTCTCTCCTGAGGGAGGCTGTGAGCTCTGCAATGACCTTCTACTCAGCACAACACAGGTACAAAGTCAGTACAGAAGACACCTGGTGCCTGAGCGGCATCACTCATGATGGAGTAGAAATCAAGGCCGACATACTATTTCTGTTACGACTCTGGTACTTTTAGGTTGGGTTAGGCAATATCCTCTCGCTAAGATGGTATCAACTCTGAGAAATATTTCATTCAGTTGTAAAGTCCCAGTTAAATTCCTTTGTACAATTGGAGAAATAAAGCCTTTGATTAAAAACTAAAATTTCCCCAGCCCTCTAAAAAGGGATGGGGGAGGGGAGCAGGTGTGGAAGAATGTCTGATCTGTCATATTCTTTAGTCAGAGCCATAAACGTGTTCGGGTAAGATAAAGTGATGTTCTGATAATGTTGATAAAAGTAACGTGAAGATTGGGTCACAGGAAGCCCAAGATAAATGCTGAGAGGAAACAAGTTCTTTTTGAAGTAGCCTCTTCATAATCATTTTCCCACACATTTGTTCAACTTCTGAAGGAGGACTGAATACCTGATTTGCTTTGCAAATGAAACAGCTTAAGAATGAGACATTCAGATAATGTTATAAATGTTCTAAACACAAATGTGTTTACAAGGATCCTCCAGCTCACTTTAAGTATAGGCTGTGGCTTCAGAACCATGTTAACTGATCCCACAGGCACACACTAACTGTGCTCCCGTTTTTGCTGGTACTTGGGTCTGCTTTGGGGTTTTTTTGTACTTGGCTTTAAAAGAGGTTTCTTGAGGGTGTTCATGAGAAGATGAGACGGACAATGTCCTCAGCAGCATCCTGACAACACAGGCGGTAACAGGTTTCCTAAAGGTGCACCTCAGTGGAGTTGCTTAACGAAAGTGAGTACTGGGGGCCAGCCCCACGGCCGAGTGGTTAA